ACGAGCGAAGAAGTTTGGGAAGCTTTGAAACCGAAAAATCCACAAAATTCCAGAAAAATACGCAAGGAAGAATTCCAGTCAGTGGTGGAGAACGGTCACGGCCACCAGGCTAGATTCCGAAAACCAAGGAAAGCATAACTAAAACCAGGAAAATATACAAAAAAAACCAGAAAAATACACAAAAAAGAACTCCAGTCAGAGGTGGAGAACGGTCACGGCCACCAGGCTAGATTCAGAAAACCAAGGAAAACAGAACTAAAACCAGGAAAATATACAAAAAAAAACCAGAAAAATAGACAAAATAAATACTCGCTCCCTTACCTTCACCTACCAATACCTACTTTTTTGCAGGTTTTTTTTAATTTCATATTAGGGTTCAGGGTCTTTTTTTTACATTTCATATTAGGGTTCAGAATAAGAACCTACAAAAAAATAGGGTTTAGTAGTTCAAGGTAGGGTTCAGCATCGGAGCTGTTTTTCATCTGCACTTGCTCCCGATAGACCATGAGCCCGGCAGCCAACATCTCCTACATCTGGGTAGCATGATGAGGGAGACCGCTTAAAAGGGAACTCCAGAAAGTTGGAATATGGTTTCAGGGTAGGATACCTTATAATTTACCGTAAAGGGTTTAGGGTAATCATATTCCAACTTTCTGGCTTTTACTTTAAAGGGTACCCCTTCCGAACCCTACTTCTGGCTCGCTTAACAGGGGCCTTGTTGAGAGGGTCTATATCCCTGAGGGTCCCCCTAATCCTAACTCCCAACATCTCAAACCGCAAAGCCTTACACTCCCTAAACCATAAACTCGAACGCCTACACCTAAAACCGTAAAGCCCTGCACCAGCTCTGACAGCGAGAATCCCGCGGCAGAGCGGAGAGTATGGATTGTTAACCCTAAACTGGCCCGAAACCCGAAGTCTAAATCCCAAACCCTGAACCCTAATCCCCTAAACCCTAAACCCCTGAACCCTAAACCCTAAACCCTAAACCCTGAACCCTAATCCCCTAAACCCTAAACCCCTGAACCCTCAACCCTAAACCCCGAAACCCTCAACCCCTAAACCCTAGACCCCTAAACCTCAAACCCTAAATCCGTAAACCCTAAATCCCTAAACCCCGAACGCCTAAACCCTAAACCTTAAACCCTAAGCCTTTTAGGCTACCCAAAGATTCCAAGATCTCTTAGTTAAGGAGTATTCCTTAAATCTTATCAGGGATCCTACCATAATTTAGGCATATTCCTTAGTTATGGGATATTGGAGTCCCCTAAACCCTAAAACATACAGATCCCTTATAGATCCGTTAAAGGGACCCTAGGTATTCCTTAATTATGGGATATTGGAGTCTCTGGGTATGTGTCTGCCTGTCGGGCTGGCTGTGGGGTTCAGGGTGTCGGTGAGCTTCGGGGTTTTGTGCTCAGGATTATAGGATTTACTTTTTAGGGGTTTGGGGTTTAGGATGTGGGGTTTAGGGTTTGGATTCGAGGCTCAGGGTTTACGGCTTGGAGCTTAGAGTTTAGGGTTTGGGGCTTAGGGTTTAGGGTTTAGTACCCAGGGTTTAGTGTTTGGGGCTTAGCATTTTAGGGTTCAGCCGGTTTCTGCAATGGCCGCGGTGCCAGGATGTTGATTGGCGCCAGCACACGCCAACATCAAACTACGTTCGCACCCAGGCGCCTGCTTTGTGCAACCGCAAAGTCTCATTCTGCAGGCAAACGACCCAGAGAGCCCAATACTCCTTAATTAAGGAATATAGCTTAAATCATAGTATGAACCCCCTTATAATTTAAGGTATATTCCTTAATTAAGGTTTATTGGGCTCTCTGGGGAGGGTGCATAGCCAGGGGTCAGAGTGTGGCCCCTACCTCTGCATATCGTTCTAGTCACTCTAGTCCTCCTGCACTTCTTCGATTCAGGAAGCAAGTCCTTGCGTGTTTTTCGTAGTGACTAACACTGAAAGTAGCCTGTGATATGTGTGGTGCTTTACACGCCAAGTGCATCGGTATGACCGAGGAACTGCACTCTTTCGATTCTTCCACCGGGTTTTATTGAATTCAGTCGATCTTCCAACCTCTGAAAAGTCTCATGAAACCCTAGCCTCTAGCCCTAAGGGGGCCCGAAAGGAGCAAACCCAAACCCTGAGCCCAAAGTCCTGGTCCTTTGGCCAGATGCCCTACGCATCAAACCCGAGCCTCAAACCCTCAAATCAAGCCTGAACCCTTCTGAGCCTGAGCCTTCAACACTACGGTTGATGATATAAATCCTGCATTACCCACAATAGGGAATATATGGGAATTATGGTATATTCCTTATTATGGGTAATGCAGGATTTATATCATCGACCGTAACTCACTAACTTCAGTCCAAAGCAAAACAACGATCGAACATCGAGGATAAAACTTGCACTTGCTGCCTTTCTGGGCCATGTTTGGACGCTTTTGAACTAGCGGGCTATAGTGTTCAGGGGCGGGTCTGGATTCGGGTTTGGGTTTGAACCTGACCCCGAACTCTAAGCCCCAGAAACCCCAAAAGTTCCAGTTGGGGCGTGAACCTGGGTTCGGAACCAAGGTTGTGCCTGTCTGGAGCCTGGGTATGAGAACCCACCTATGGTCTCCACTGTAATTTTTTTTGGGGTTACCTCTTAGCATCAAAACGATGGAATTGGTTAGACCAAAACAAGAGTTACAAAGTAGACTACCTAGACTCACACCCCAACTAGCCTCTAATAGACACCAAATGCCTTCTATTCGGGACCATAATTCATAAGGGCTCTATGAAGGGGCCTTGGGGGGTCCTGTAAAAGGCAGATTCGAAGAGCTAGTTTGGGATCGGACACAGGTTTGGGACACAGGGCTCGGAGGAGCCTTAAGCTCACAGCCCTAAGTCCCTATAGACCTTAAGCCTTAGACCCTAAACCCTCAAAACATCCTCAGTCCGATACCCAAAGTCCCTACCCGTAGCCAAAAAGACCTACCTTCTAAGCAGCTATGTATAGAAACCATCACAATGTACCCTAAAGAGGTAGGCGTTTGAGGCTACATTTCAACCCCGAAGCTCTAACCCCTAAACCCTACACCCTAAAGGCCCTAAACCCTAAACCTGAAACCCCCACAGCCCAAATTGCCGGAGGGAACTATATAATAGAAACCATAACAATGAACCCTAAAGAGGTAGGTCTTTTCGGCTATATGTCAGCCTTAAGCTCTAAGCCGCCACAGCCCAAATTGCCGGAGGGAAGCTGCGGATCTTGCTGGGCGGTTGCCTCGGCCAATGCTCTGGAGATGCATGCAGAGCTGCAGCTGGGTCTTGAGGATTAGGTTTAGGGTTTGGGGTTTGGGGTTTAGGGTTTAGGGTTTAGGGTTTGGGGTTTAGGGTTTAGGGATCAGGGTTTAGGGTTTGGGGTTTGGGGTTTAGGGTTTAGGGTTTAAGGTTTAGGGTTTAGGGATCAGGGTTTGGGGTTTGGGGTTTAGAGTTTAGGGTTTAGGGATCAGGGTTTAGGGTTTAAGGTTTAGGGTTTAGGGATCAGGGTTTAGGGTTTAAGGTTTAGGGTTTAGGGTTGAGGATCAGGGTTTAGGGCTTTGGGTTTAGGATCATCGATGGGGGCTGAGTTGAAATCCACACCCGCTGTACGTCCCTGCCTAGCTATAGCATGGGTCTGGAGGGTTCATACTTGAGTAGGGTGTTTAGGGTTGTATAAACTATAAATGCTCCGAACCAGGGCTCTCGGGGTTAAGTCGCCGTGTTGTGCCATTCCTTTTGCTTTGGTACCCCTTTCTGGGAAATTGCTCTCATTGCACAAACTTCCAATTCGGGACATCCCGCATGTAGCCCAGAAATCGGGACCCGTGCGTAGCCAATATGTGTGCTTGGCGGATCTTGAAATCTCGCGCTCCTTGAAGTAAAGGTGAGCCAAAACAACTCCTTTCATCAGGATCTCGACAAGCTTTAGCCTTAGTATAGTATAACATACTTACCATCAAGGCCACCCATTATAGAACCCGTTGTGTAACCCTGATAGACTTATAGAGTCTGGATATGATTATATGACCTTTCAGCGGAACCCTGTTCCAATTGTTTGGCGACGATATTGCAGGGATTCCTGCCCGGAGCCATACAAAAAATAGATCCAGAGTTTCTTCGTCACGAAATTCGTGTAGATTAACAGAAACTTTCCTCCTTACTTAGACCCGCCAAGGGCCCTTTAATGGAGCCCTTATGGTCCCTCACAGTGCAGTTGGGGGGTCTAGGTAGAGTTTAGGGTTTAGGAGTTTCAGTTCTTTTAGGTCTTTTGGAGTCGTTGGGCAAGTCCCGAATGCTGAGGAACGGCCACGGAAGTGCCGGCGTGGCTTACGAAGAGATCTTGAGCTGCACTCCAAACACGAAGCTAGATTGGATTTTGGGACATTTTCTATTTTCCGTATTTGTGTTTAGAAGGGGCCCTAAACCCTAAACCCTAAACCCGTGTTTAAAGGCCAACCCAGGAAGCATTGTGGAGGAGACGGCGGGTGCTCCGGTGCAACGGCAGAGCTGGCCTTCCAATATGTGAAGGACATGGATTTCAGGGTTCTGGGGTTTCAGGGACTAAAGTAAAAGCCAGAAAGTTGGAATATGATTATCCTACACCCTTTATGGTAAATTATAGGGTATCCTACCCTGAAACCATATTCCAACTTTCTGGAGTTCCCTTTAGGGTTGATCCCAGATAGTACCTAACCACCCTGTACCCGCGCATGTAGGGTGGAGGGTCCAGGAGTTCTTCTACATTGAATGTCATTTTGACGTTGGACATGGTAAGCAAGAGCAACAGAAAGGGTTATTCTTTGGGAGCTTGGCGATCCAGCCTAAAGGAACAGGGGACTCAGTGGGCGCTCCAGCTGAAAGGAGCAGGGGACGCAGTAAGTAGGGCTATAGTTCGGGATGCTTCGCTTACTTTTCGCCCGTAAGGTCTTTTTCCTAACCCCTAAACCTAAACCCTTGAGTGGTCTCAGGACAGGGGCGTCGTAATGCGGACCCCCGAGACGGCTGCCGGAGGAGTTTGGGGGGAACGTTGTGGGATGCAGCCGGGGCAGCGGATTTGGACGGACGGCTTCGTACGCGTCACGCCAAATTTAGCGCAGCCACTGGTGCCTGGCATGCAAGAAAGAGGGAGAGGGAAAGGGTTCAACAAATGGGTGGTTGTCAAAATTATGGTCCCTTTTTGGGTCCGTAGTATAAAACGGCACCGAATATTTGGGGTGAAAAGGGACCCTAGTTTTGAAAACTACTCTAATGGAACTCAGAACATCTCTGTGTCAAGTCCAGCAGCAGCCGGACATACCGCAAGCCCGGGGAACCAAGATGCCTCTAATCATCTGGGAATGCCACTTCAGGGATGATAATATCGGGGCCTTAATAATTACCTATACTATCTTGGGGGTCCCTTATTATAATCATAGTATAATGGGCCCCAAAACCATATTCTAATGATGAAGGCCCTTACATTATAGTCCGAAACCTCCGGCGAGCGAAAGTGGGCTCACGCTTTTGTGGCTTAAGCCCACAGGGGCTGAGTAGGTAACCTGTATATAAACTTTTGGGGGTTAGGCTTTAGGGTTTAGGCTTTAGGGTTTAGGGTTTAGGGTCCCAACTAAAATTAGAAAGGTTAACCTTTTTTCAGCTCGGGTATTCAGCGCCTAAGAGCCCCAAAGCAAACAAGCTAAACCCCTAAACCCCCACCCCCTTTGGCCAGTCCAGGTGCAAGCCATCGCCATGCAGGGCCCGGTCGTTGTGTCCGCAGATGCGACGAACTGGGAGACGCGGGTGAGGGTTTAGAGCTTAGGCGTTAGGGGTTTTGGGTTTAGGGGTGGGTTTAGGAGGTTTAGGGTTTGGGGGCTTAGGGGTTTAAGGTCTAGGGGTTTGGGCGGGTTCCTTTAAAGGGGTCTATAAGGGTTACTGTAAAGGATATACAAGGGCACTATAGCAATGTAGGAACCTGATTAAGGAACCCTCGCAGGATGAACCCAAGCCGGGTTCTTACATGGGTGGTTGTCAAAATTAAGGTCCCTTTTTGGGGGGAACCCTAAATACTAGGTGCCGTGCTATAATAGGGATCCAAAAAGGGACCATAATTTTGGCAACCACCCACATAGTGGCCTTGGGGTTCAGGGTTTCGATCTTTATATTCTAGTTGTTCTGGAAGGCTTTGAAAGTCAACGATGTTGTAACTAGAAGTTCGACATGTAGGATGTCCTGTTTAGGGGTCGTAAGCTTTGGTCATGATGTTGGGGTTAGGTTGCAGGGGGCCAGGGAACGCCCAGTACAAATTAGAAGCTGCACCCACCCTGTAATAGACTATAGTGACTATAAGGATTATATCAGGGCCGTATTATATTTCTATTATACCACTGTTACAGGGTGGGGGCCCCTTCTAAAGTACAAATCCCAAGTTGTAAGCCCTGAGCCTGGTGAGGGGTATTAAGGAGGCCGAATCATCGGGAGCGGGGCGGGAGTTCAGGGTTTAGGGGTTTAGGGTTTAGGTTAGGTACGGCCCCCATACAGTAAGAGTCTATAATAGGGCTACTATTAAGGTCCTACTGTATCTGTATTATGGAAATGAATCCTCATAAACTTTACCCACAGTGCCATAGAGATTGAAAGCCCCGCAAATCAAGGGCTTGGGGAGTTTGCGTTCAAGGATGTGGATGTTGTTTTTATCCAGCAACCCAAGCTTCCCAAAGACTCCAATATTCCTTAATTACCCTAAATCATATAAGGGATCCTACCATAATTTAAGGAATATTCCTTACTTAACGGATATTGGAGTCTCTGGGTTTAAACCATAAATATGGACCCTGACGCCCCAACTACCCTCTATTATACTTCAAATACCCACGATGAAGGACCAAAAGGCCTCTATAAAAGGCCCTAAGGTCGCCTTAAACCTTAGTAGCTGAGTGGATACACTTTACACTTTTTGGGATAATGCTACCCACTATAAAACCGGAAGTGTAGACTTTTTGGGGGCTTATGAACTCAGCCACCAAGAAACTATAAGCATCCCCTGAACCCTATTCCCTAAACCTTATCCCCTAAACCCTCTAAACCCTGAGCCTTTTAAACCCTTAGTTCTATTTTGGCCAGCAGAGGAGACGTATGGCTCCGGCATCTTCGACAGCTGCGGCAAGGATGCCAGGGTGACTCTGGGCCCCAGTACAGTACTTAAAGGATCATGGGACTTAGTAACTGGGGTTCCTTAAAGGGTTCCTTAAAGGGCTCCTTTAAAGGGATCTGTAAGGGTTCTAGAAGAGGGGCTTTAGGGTCTACTTGAAGGATCATGGGACTTAGTAACTGGTATAAACAAGGTAACTATACTTGTAAGCGCTTATAAGCCCACTTGAGGTACTTATAACCTGACTCACTAAGTCCCATGATCCTCCAAGTAGAAGCCCGAAAGTTGGAAACCCAATAGCCTCAATCCTTAAGAGTAATGTTTTCGGGACTCCCAGCACTACTTGGCCTTAATCCGATTTCCAACCAGCCTAATGGGGTTTACTGAGAGGTTTTAGGATTTTTGTCGGAGGTTCAGGGCTGCTAACAAGTAGTCATCATGCCCTCTTATCATAGTCCCTATATAGGGATACCACAGCGCACCCCCCCAAACTCTACTCTGCTTGTACTAACTGTCACGGAGGTTCTGAAGTTTGGGTTCCAGGTTTCATCGGGGTCGCCGTGCACTTTTTTCAGATTGTCTTTCAGTCTTGTCGTGCCGTTTGTGGGGTTGGTTTCTTTTCTCTTTTCGGCTATTATTCGCTTGGGGCAAAGTGCTGAACATCGGGTCTGAATACACATCAATTCTAATTGTTAAGATTCATCGTTGCAGTATGATCTAGCTCAAAACCCAAGTCTCTGCGTTTTCTGGCACCTATCAAGCAGGAAGACCAGGGTTTTGCTTCGATTCTGTCGCGGACGTCTCGAACTCAGGAATCATGCAGTCCTGGCAGTCGGCTACGGCCAGTCCGCCAGCGGGAAGTACTTTCTTATCCGGAACAGCTCCTCGGTTCTCGAGCCTCCCGTTCCACATTGGCTCTTGCAGCCATGGTGCACTATACCTATAGCCTCCATTGTAGTTCCTTTTTGGGGTTACCTTATAGGATCCCAGTTATATATTTGGTTAAACCAAGAAAAGGAACTACAACGGAGACTCTAGGTAGCCCTCAAAGCTAAGCATAAACTGTGTCTTTGCAATCTCCAGGGTGGCCGGGTTTAGAGGTTTAGGGTTTGTTAGACAACCCCCCCCCCCCCCCAATGGCCCTTTAATGGAGCCCTAATGGCCCTTAACAGTAGGTATTTAGGGTTTGTTGGGCTTGAGTGTCTTGGAGAGAGTGTTGGGAACTCCCACGGCATATACCCTTAATAAGGACCCCTAGGTAAATGCCCTTAATATAGCCATTACAAATCCCATTAAAAAGGCCACAATAGGGTAGGGGTCCCCGTTAAGGGTCCCTCCTTTTCCCCTTTGATGAACCTCGACCCAAAACTTCCCTAACCCTAAACCAAAAGCCTGAATTCTGTCCGGCATCCAGGTTGGGGTGGAATGTGGGGCGAGCAGGGGCACATTCGCTTGCTCCGCTTTGACGATGAGCCCGGGCCCTCTCCCGCTTTCTGTGGCACCGACTATCATCCGGAAGAAGGAGTTGCATGTCAAGGCGCCGTTCCGGGCTTTAGGGCTTTGGGGTCCGGGATCAGATCGCCTTTGAATGAAGTCTTAATGCGCCTTGCGTTGTGGGCATTATTCGGAACTGCTGCGAAGGTGAGACTCGACCAGTGAAAGTCTGCGGGATGTGCGGTATCCTGTTGGATTCTGCCTATCCAGTCGGCGTTCGTGTGGAGAGCTCGAACGGCGAGAGACCGAGTGCACAGCAGATGTAAGGGTCCTCGCCTGCTGAAGCGAAGGTTCGGCAACTGTTTCTTCGTAGGTTCCGTGGGTGTGTCATCGGCCTGCAATTCTATGCACAACTCGTCATCTTGATGCATAGTGCCAGGTGCGTCCCCATATCCAGGCCGGCTTATAGACTCAGCCCCTTGCCACTACCATGTTACCGTATTTACCATATTTACCATATTGCCAGTTTTATATACTACTGTACTACTATATGACTAGTTGCTACATTACTGTATCACCACGAAAAGTATCAGAGGAGGGCTTGCGAAGAGACCGTGTGCCAGAATTTATCGGCCAACGCCGAAGTGTTGATGGAGTGCAGCAACCGTCTCTGAGAAGTGCAGCGGAAGAAAAGAAGTCGGAAAAGACTGACGTCAAGGCAGGTGGTTTCCTAGAGACTCCAATATCCCTTAATTAAGGAATATACATAAGGGATCCTGCCATAATTTGTGGAATATTTCTTAATTAAGGGATATTGGAGTCTCTGGGTTCGGTCCTGGCACACCCCGAGAACCCAACACTGTAGGCCTGAATAAGGACTGAACAATGAACAGCAACCCCTCTTCAGTTCCTATATACTTCCTATACAAGAAGAGCTGTATCATTTAGGTAAGGTTAAAGCTCTTCTTCATCCGCCGACGCCTTGAGATGCACTCGCACATCGGCCTATGGCCCAAACATGCAACACTTCGAATCGAAGTAACATGAAATCCATAGGATAAATCATGGTTTAGGGTTTAGGGTTAGCAACCTTAAGCACGCAGGTGCGCTGAACGCGGATCAGGCCTTGTAGCAGCAACCTGCTTGAACCAACTATTCACCTGGGCCTCAAAGCCATAGCTTTGCCTGAGCCCAGTCCATTACGTCGGCATGTGGCATTAGCAAGCAAGACCTAAACTCTCCAACCCCAACCTTTTTCACTTTGAACTCTAGACCCTAAGCCCTAAACCCCGAACCCTGCGCCCTGTAAAGGCTTAATCACTGGAACCCAGAGTAGGCCCTTATTCACTGTTTTAGGGTTTATGTTACCATGTGACCCACTTTCAACCAAAAAGGGCACCCTTTGTATTCCTAGGTTGCTCTTAGGCCTCAATCACGAACCCTTACGACTTTCAAAGTTGCTGGAAGCCATGGGGCAGTCACATGGTGGCCACGCGATCCAGGTGCCGCATCAGGAGCCTTAATGACTGGACTAGGGGGTGGGGGACTTCATACTTAGAACAGGGTTTTGGGGCCCATCATGCTATAATTATAGTAAGGAACCACCAAAACAGGTAATTATTGAGGCCCCTAGATTGGGGGTTGAAGTTATAAAGGGCCCAGAAGCGCCGAACAAGGGTTTCGCAGGTGAGTTGCTCCCGGCTTTCAGGGGTTATAAGTTGTTTCAAACTGCCTTGAGAGGATGGTTCAAATGCTTTATAGGCACCCTAAACCCTAAACCCTGAACCCCTAAACCCTAAACCCTAGTTTATAGGGTTACAGGAGGTCCATAGGGTTTGAGTGTACGGCGTTTGTGCGGTTTGGGAGATCCTTGATTTCTCGAGGTTTCTACTGGAAAGCCGCTTGTCAGCATGAGGGCTTTTCAGGGGCATAAGGCCGTAGATTCAAATTTTGGGAGGGTTGTGGAAATCAGGGTTGCTGTTTGAAGCATCGGGTTTAATGCTGATTAGCTGCATGATCCAGACCGCAAAAGACCTGGACCCTAAGCCACGCAAGATACTCGTTTATACTTAGATCTCCAATTCCCAACCTTTAAACTTTCTGGTTTCTTGTAGCTTAGTAGGAATCGGAAAGTTTAACCTTTTATTTCTGTTGCTTTTTAAGTATACTGACCCCACGCCCCACAAGACCCGACAAAGTAAACCCCGGAAGACCCGAAACCCTATCCCACAACCTTAAGCACTTCAACCCTAAGCCCTGCCCTATACCCTAAGCCCCGCAATACACAGAAAATGGGCTTAGTAGCTGAGTAGATATCCTTTAACCTTGTGGGGTTTATCAATTCCTCTACCAGAGTTCAAAAGCCCTCCGGGTCAATGTGCCCAATTAGCATATACCTCTGGCCCCGAAGTACCCCCGAAGGGATTGCCTTAACGCCAAAGTACATACTACTTGGCTACGTGGACCCTTACTTAGGGAAGGTTAACCCTTTTTTGGGGCGAGGGTACCCTCGCCCCTGCAGGATCCCTTAAAGGAACCCCTTGAACGAACCCTTAAAGGAACCCCCTTGAACGAACCCTGAAAGGAGCCCTTAAAGGAGCCCTTGAAGGAACCCTTAAAGGAGCCCTTGAAGGAGCCCTTAAAGGAACCCCTAAGTCGGGCTTCCAGGAGGAGGAAGATGAGGATTCAACGTCCGACGAGGACCCTGGGCTTTTAGTTTCGGTTTGGGGGTTCGGGGTTTAGAGTTTAGGGATTAGGGTTTAGGGTTTAGGGATTAGGGTTTAGGGTTTAGGGTTTAGGGATTAGGGTTTAGGGTTTAGCGAGCAGTTTAGGCCTTAGGGTTTAGAAGTGAGAGTATCGAATTTAGGAGGTTCAGGGTGTAGAGTTTGGGGATGTAGATTGTTCGGTTTTGGTTTTACTGGGGTTTGGGGTTTTGGGGGGTCCCGGGTTTAGAGCATTAGGTGTTTAGAGGTTTGCCTTGTAGGACAACTAAACGCCCAGGAGATGGTGTGTGTCGACGCCTTGTCTGATTGCAGCCACCATCAGCTGCTGTTGCAGGTGCACCGCGGGGGGTTCAATGTACTCCTACGAGGAGGTTCGTGGCTTAGGGTTTAGATTTCGGGTTTAGGGCTTAAGGCCTACACCCTTGAAATCTCAAAAGAACCGATAGAGCCTACGACCTAAACCTTAAAATCCACACCCTAAAAACGAAAGGCACAAGCACATCGTGCCTCCCAGGTTATCCAAGGGCGGCCGCCGCACGAAGAAGAGCCCACGCTCAGGAGGGTCGTTGGGGGTGAAGGTTCTGCCGTAAGGATTCGCACAGGGGTTCGAAGCTACTTCGGGGTCTAGGGTTTGGGAGTTTCCGAAAATACAATAGTGGGTACCTCATTTGGGGTCCTTACTTACAATAGGGATCCTACTATTTAGGGTACTATATGAGGGTCCCCTATTTTCGGAAGCTCCCATTTGAAGGGCTCGAAGGGCCTGTCAATACTTGAATTAAACCCCAAGCCCTAATTCCCAACTAAACCGGAAACCCTTATGAGGAGCCCCTGCACCAGTGAGTGGGACGGCGAGGACATAGGGCCGAGGACGGTGCTATTACACGCGACCTGGCTGCGATGTAGGATAACCTGCTCGAACATCATAAAACTACCAGACTTCCTACGAACCCTGAGCCCTAAATGCTGCCTTAACCCCAACCTACCTTTTTGCGGACTTATCTGAGGAAATCACAACAAAGAGCCCCCAAAAGGAAGGGTTTTCCAGGTTTCAGGTAAATTACCCCCTAAACCCGAAGCACTAAACCCTAAACCCTAAACGCCCGAACCCTTAAACCCTAAACCATACCATAAACACCTAAACCCTAAACCCAAAACCCTCCCGGAAGCCCTAAAACCTCCAGGTCTACGACCTGGAGGGCTTCACGGCAGCGAACGGCGGCATGAACTTCATGGTGACTAAGGCACCTTTTGGGGATGGTTTAGGGTTTGGGGTTAGGCTTTAGGGTTTAGGGGCTTAGTGTTTAGGGTTTAGGGGTTTAGGGTTAGGGTTAGGGTTTGGGGGCCTTCGGGTTTAGGGGTTTGCGGCCTTAGGGCGTAGCGGTTTAGGGTTTAGGGTTTGGGGCCTTACCCTAAGGCTCGAAGGACTCGTACTTTCAAGCTTTTGGGCCCAACTACAATGCTAGATAAGGCCTTTGGGCTATGTTGAGCCTTAGGGTTAGGGTTTAGGCGTTTAGGGTTTAGGGTGTTGGGTTCCGGAGCTTGGGGTGGGGAAGGCGACTGTTTCAAGAATTCTTTGGGCTTCAGGGGTATGGGGGTTTTCGGGGCTTGCCCTAAAACGACTCCCATACCCGAGCGCCCCCCCCGTTAAAACGTGCTTAGGCAGTGGAGTTTCGAGTTTAGGCTTTAGGATTGCTCCGAAAACAATCCACCGCTAAACCCCAAAGCCCTACATTCCAGATATTTGCCTTGTAATAGGGCCCCAAAGAGGCTAATATAAGCAAAAAATAGGAGAGGGATATCCCGGATATCCCATATGAACCACTTATACTGAAGCCCCATAAGATAGGGATATCCCTATAAAATTTCATGGTTTTGGGGTCCCTGATGTAACCCTCCCAAACCTACAGCACGGAAACTGTCCCAGATGTCTCTCGGTGGCGCTTTCCACGCTGGCGTGGAGGTTTATTGCAATGAGTGGTCCTACGGGAAGCGAGGAGCCGTGGTTCAATTGTTATAGGGTTTAGGGGTTTTGGGGATTTAGGGTTTAGGAGTTTAGGGTTTAGGGTTTATTTTTTGTCTTTTTTCAAGGGGCTTCAGGCCTTGAAGATTAAGTAGAGTAATTAGAGTTTAGGAATTGGTTTTAAGTTTCTCTAGATAGGAAATATAGCCCTATCCTATAGGGCCTTTTGGATTGAAGGTTAGGGTTCAGGGTTGAGGCTTTAGGGTTTGATCCCAAACCCCTTGAGCTAAGGAGTCATCGCGCTCTAGTAGAGGGCCTTCAGGCTTCATACGGTAGTTAGTTTAAGAGTAGGGTTTAGGATTTAGGTTTCCCAGAGACTCCAATATTCCTTAATTAGGGAATATACCTTAAATCATATAAGGGATCCTACCATAATTTAAGGAATATTCCTTAATTAGGGATATTGGAGTCTCTGGGTTTAGGATATGATCCGAGATTGCGCTAGTTAAGGAGTCATAGCCCTGGCGTATGCCAACCCTTAAGCCCCAAGCCCTAAACCCCTAACCCTGAACCTTAAGAACCACCCCTCTTCCTCTGAGGAATCACTTGCGATGCACCGCGCACCGTCGAGGGGCACATC